CAGGTCACGTACGAACAAACCTCCTCCTTTCCTTTACATAGACCGTATGTCGTTAACTTAAAACCAGGTTACGTACGAACAAACCTCCTCCTTTACATAGACCGTATGTCGTTAACACAAAACCAGGTCACGTACGAACAAACCTCCTCCTTTTCATAGACCGTATGTCGTTAACTAAAAAAGCGAATAATACAAAAAAGTTCAGCTAATACCATGACGACTACTAAAATTGAACAATGCAATATAAACCGCACCCAATTTGGAAAGCAGTCATAATGTACTCACTTCTACAGGAACTAGCTAGGGTAGTTGCAGCTGTTGGTTTGATATTACCCCTCAAAATAGAAAAAAAAACACTCCTAACATGAAGTTTCATCATAGAATATAAATGAAATCTACAGGACTTGTTAGGGGCCAGTAAGTAGTTCAAATCATCACAACATCGAACAAAAATCTACTTTAACATAGTTAATAAGTATATCAGTCATGTACGTGAATCAAGTCACTGAAAAGGTTGGAACATCTTACTAAAAGCTTGTCGTGTATTGTTTAAGGAGTTCGATTTTCTTCTTCCCAATTTAACGTTTAATTGAAATAAGGAGAGAATAGAAGCCGCCGAAAAACAGGCGGCCCAAGAAAAAAATGAGACACCCGTTTATACTTTGAAGCCTTTGTAACATTGTTTCTCATCTATCGGGCTTGTCTACCTAAGACCATTTGCCTTATTTATTTGGTGTACCATCCCTCTCCCGTCCCCTCCCCCTCCAACTTAAAAACATACTTACGGGATATCTTAGGTCGAATCATGAAAACATAAATGTGAGGCACCGATAGTTTTAATACAGATCAAAACAAGTTTAACAAAATACAAAATTGTGGTTTTCCTTAACTGGTATTTTTGAAGTACGTGAAATTCCTCTCATAGAATGTAATTATGGATACAGATAGAATTATTATGTAATTTATTCCCACTGATTCAGGGACGGATCGGAAAAAAATATAGTTTTTTTGCATATATCAGGAGAGAAAAAAAATGTGTTCTATTTTCTGAAATTACGCCCCCTTTAAAAAAATAGTTTTCAATAGTCAATATTATCGAATTTGTAGACTTATATATACTGAGTTATAAAAAAAATAACAACAACTCTTTTGGTTTCATATTTCAATTATAAACTTCAATTCTAAAAAAATAATTATAACAACATTATTGTAACAAAGCAAATAAACCATGAGGTTCAATTTTTTCCCCGACAAAAACTCTATAAAATTCATTTCTTCAATTTTGGAAGTTTTTAATTTAATGTTTTTATTATTAAAATATATGTTGCTAAACAATTTTACTCAGTATACATAAACAACAATATGATCTGAATTTATAGTATAAACACATACTAGTACTCTAATTTTGAAGACCGTATATTGCGGCTTGCTATCTCATTTGATGTACATCCCGTGTATCATTTTATTTATATGAATATATATACACAAAATTGGTATCGTTTTATTAATGATTAACAGTTTGTGTTCTTTTCGATGAAAAGTATACCTTATTGAGAAGCATTATTCAGTGTAGTTTAGTCCTCAATGGTGACTGAGGAATAGAAATATGGTCGCATAAATCTTCTTCTTTTGACCGCCAGTTAAACCTTTGACAAAATGGGGCATCTGTTTCGTTGTGCGGGATGTACAAGTACTCACGTCAGGTCAGAATGGTGACGTTAAAATCCGATGCCTCGATTACAGAGAATGCCACGCTCTTTGCACGTTATGAACCCTTGCAACAACTATTTGAGGGGTTTGTAGGTGCCTTGTTACAAGGCAAAATGTATGTCCCTATAAAAAAAAGAAGATGTGTTATGAATGCTAATGAGACATTACTCCATCAAAGACCAAATGACATAGAAGTTAACAACTATAGGTCACCGTACGTCCTTCAACAAAGAGCAAAACAAACACCGCAAGGTCAGCTATAAAAGGCCACGAAATAACAAATGCCTATCCTCATTTTCCAGTGGCAGTCCAGATTTCCCCGACCTTCATCCCGGGCGGCCTGTATTACAGGACCTATTTATTGTATTTATTGTTAATTTGTTGTCGTCATAAACTTGTATGAAATATTTGCCACTGGACGTTCGACAACCAACTATCAATCAATTAAAGCTAGTTTATGGCGTGAGTGTATATTACCTGTACCTTTCACGTCGCAGATTTGACGTGTATGGAGATTACCTGTGCCTATTATGTAAAGCTGTGTATGGCTTAACCTCACAACGAACTGTTTACAAAGATGATGTCTCGAGACTAAGAATCAACACATGTGAATTATTTAGAATGACGTATAGATTGGGGGTGGTCATTAATTTTCAAATACTTCTAAAGTTTATCATATCATAAATATCTACATGAAAGATATATATCTTAGCTAGATTAAAGGGAAAAGAAATCTGGATGGGGGTCCTTCATTTCTGTAAAATTTATTTGTTAGGGCCATTATTCTCTATTCTTTATATGTTTGCCAATTATTCTCTATTCTTTTTTTTTGTTTTGCTTAGTTGTCTCTATTCTTTATTCTAATGCAATTATTTTGTATCAATGGTTCTGATTGGATGACAGTAAGCGTACAATTCTCTATCTCCTTGTCTGTAACTAAGGAAGCCGACATTTTGAATTGCAGAATGTATTGACATGTAATTTTTACAATAATTAGCAAAAAACTCACATGTTGCACCCAGAAATCTTCTTTTTATCAAGTTTTATTACATTCTGAAGCGGTCAAGAAGCCAGAAAACGCCCGGTGTTTACGTTTGACGCCGGAAGCATACCTATGACGTCACCTAGTTTAGGGGCCAAAGAAGATAACATCTTTTCGCGGAATTTTCTTTAATGAAAATTTTACACTGAAATAATGATTGAAATTGAATTATGTACTTGTTTTGCATTAGAATAGAGATAACTGTATTGTATTTGAAGCTTTGCGGACGTCCATCGGTAGTTTTACTGTCGCAAATACCAGTTTACCTGTCGCCAGGTAAACTAAATTTGCGACAGTGAAACTACCGATGGACGTCCGCAAAGCTTCAAATACAATACAGTTATCTCTTAACTGTTATTGCCCATTTTCTTGTGTGGTAATAGTCCTTTTTTGTCTATTCTGTAAACCCCATCTTGACCTCGTATAGAGCTGGTTATTTATGAAAGGCGCTAGTCCATTGTGAAAGCCGTATGCATATCTATTCATACTTTCTAGAATGTATTGCAATGTCTGATAGCTGTCTAATTGACATATACTGTCTACCTCCTGAAGTCTTCGTCAGCAAATAACATTTATAATATGAAAATAAGAAGATATGGTACATGTATGAATGTCAATGGGACAACTCTCCACCAGATACCACATGATGTAGAAGTAAGCAACTAAATGTCATCGAACGGCCTTCAACAATCACCGTACGGCCTTCATCAATGAGCAAAATCCACACCGCATAGCAAGCTATAAGTACCAAATCTAATGCATTATATGCGAATTTTGAGAATTTGCTACTTTCAGTGATGCTCGAAACCTAATAAAACGTTGAAAACTGATCAAACCAAAACAGGACAAAAATTCAAACAAAAAAAAGTTAATTCACAAAAATGGGTATGAAAATTCAACATTAGCCCAGTTCTTATTGTATCTTCGTCGTACTTTGCGTTACAGTATTATATTGTTCCAACTCTCTCAGGCAAAGCTGACCTTAGATTAATTTGGCTATTATTTTAAAATACTTTTTGGTCTGTAGCTCTTCATGTGTTTCGGTACTTTTAGGAAAGCGCTTCGGACGCAATTAATTAATAAAGTGTCTCTTTCCTTTTTATAGCTCTGGGTAGATACTGCCGGTACTTTTACATCCTTGGCTTTGAGCGTTCTTGATGAAGGTAAACTAAGGAAAGCGCTTCTGATGCAATTAATTAAAAAAGTATCGCTTTCCTTCTTTTATTTTTTTTTATTTTTCCTATAGTTCGTCCTGAACATGCATGAAATATTTGCCACTTGATGTTAAGCAACCAAATATCAATCATCCTTTTTATAGCGCTGGGTCGAAACCACATTTGATGGACAGATCTTTGACGAGGGACCATCATTGTTTTACATTGATCTATGTCGTTCAATCACACCGACTTTGAAAATGTATATATATAGTTGAAATTTTTTTTCCCTGATAATATTGAACAAGTGTTTAAAATTGTTCGTAATTGATTAACCGATTTCCCACGTAAAATGAACTTGTATTGTTATGCTCATTATTCTCTATACTGTATACTTTTATCACCTCTTTTTTCTCAATTTACCTCCTATTTTTCACTTTTTTTACCCTTCATTCTGCACTTTTGGCCATTATTCTATCTTCTGTAAAGCCCACCTGGACCCTATAAAATAGTATTTGATGACATGATGTACTTGTCAATCACAAATAAAAGAATATGATAACAACTTACGAAAAATAACACAATTAAAGATTCAGGTCTAGACGCAGAGAGTCTACACCCCCTTTTTTTATTTGAAAAAAAACATAAATTTTTAGCATACAATCGTCAAAAAATGATCGCTTCTGTACCAATAAGCGAAAATTAAGCCACTCAAATGACACAAAAAACCAACAATGAAGACAGGACAATTTATGTAATTAATGGATTAAGATCAGTTATTACAATATAACTCTATTTGAAACGTCACAAATAAGATTGTATAAGGAAACTGACAAAAATTATTACAAGAAATTAGTATTTTGAGGTTTAAACTAAGATTTAATCATAGAATCTCAGAAAATAGGAAACTTGATCAAAGATTGTTTACGAAAACTGACAAAAGTTTAAGACCAGAGATTACTATTTTTGGTCAAAAATTAGAATTTGTATCATGAAATCTCCGAAAAAAGGAAAAAAATATCCACATTTGAGCTTTGGTGGATAGTTGTCTTATTGGTAATCAAACCACATCTTCTGTCTTTTATATTTAAAGCAATGACGATACATGAGAAGAGACACTATTATCTTATCAAAGTTTTATTAAATATTTGACCACTCGAAAATTCAATATATACATGATATAAACTTGCAAGTGCAATAAAAGGTAAGCAGTCGATATCTGTATTTAAACAGTCATATCTCTCCGATTTATTATTGTTTAAATCGATCATCCATACTCTAATCTATAAGGAAGGAAAAACAATTGTGGTCTTTTGTCGGTTGTGGATATTTTGTCTTATGTCCATAGGATTCGTATACTATTCAGGTTAGTTTTACAGATACATATAGAGTCTGCTTCTTCTAAGAGTGAGTAATGATATATTTTACTCACGACAGTTACATCTTAGAGTCTGGACGTATGACCATAGAAAAGCAGGTTAAACTTGGCTTCGTGTTGGAGGCCTCACTGTGACTTTTAGATGAAGAACAGCAATAAAAGCGCTGTTCCTTTGCTTTTTTTGTGTTTTTATTTTTTTGCTGTGCATGTACTCATTTTGTGTCATAAATGGATAATCCTTTATTTTTCTATTAAAACTTAAACTATCCAAATTGAAGAAATATTGCGGGAAATCACGAGAAAACAGATGGATACTCTGTTCAGTATTTTTTATGTAAAACTCCATGAAGAATTAGGTCAACACAATGGCTCTGTTGTCAAAGAAGCTACATTTAACTTGATATCATAAGAAATTGCAAGAAATGACAGTGCCGGAAAATACAAGCTTATTACAAGAGAAAATAAAATCCACATGTGGTTTAATTAATATTTTTACAGCGCCTTGCTTAGCTGAGCGTCAGGGGTTAATAGTATTTTTGTAAATGTGTGCTTGTTTTCAAGATATGAGCCATTGAAAATTTGGCAGGAAGTGATTCTCTCTAGATTATTCATACATTTAACATTTGCACCTTTTTTTCTTTCAAAAAAAAAAAAATAAGGATTTTATTAAATTTTCAAATTCGTTTTTTTGAACTATATGTTATTAGAATATGAAAAGAAAAGTAGGGGTTTGCGTGCAAGATGTTTAAATGGCACTACATGGATAAAACCAGAGGATTCCGAATATCTGGCAAAAATTCAAAAAACAAGAGGAGCGAACAACTTAATGCTTAATATAATACGCCAATGTCACTCTGACGGATTTTTATCGACATGCTTTGTCTATCCTAGTTTCTGGTATCTTATTTGATCAAAATCTTTCAGTGATCAGTTACTTGATACCAGTTTGAAATAAAACTTCCGTAATTTGGGCAAAACATTAGAACGCAAGTAAAGTTTTTAACACAAAATCTTTTTTCTCTTTAAGGAGTGAAAAACTTATTGAAAATAGTATTAGGTATATTAAGCTGACAATCATACCACATCTCCGTATCATTATATATACATGTTGATGCATGTTTGAAAAATACAACATATTATGATATTAGATTTACGGACTTTATGAATTAACCTTAGGATAAAACATATCAAGGTTATTTGGTTATGTTAGTCAACATATCTAGGATACTTGGTCATGATAGTCAACATATCTAGGTTACTTGGTCATGTTAGTCAACATATCTAGGATACTTGGTCATGTTAGTCAACATATCTAGGTTACTTGGTCATGTTAGTCAACATATTTAAGTTACTTGGTCATGTTAGTCAACATATCTAGAATACTTGGTCATGTTAGGTAACATATCTAGGTCACTTGGTCATGTTAGTCAACATATCTAGGTTACTTGGTCATGTTAGTCAACATATCTAGGTTACTTAGTCATGTTAGTCAACATATCTAGGTTACTTGGTCATGTTAGTCAACATTTCTAGGTGATTTGGTCATGTAAGTCAACATATCTAGGTTACTTGGTCATATTAGTCAACGTATCTAGGATATTTGGTCATGTTAGTCAACATATCTAGGTTACTTGGTCATGTTAGTCAACATATCTAAGTTACTTGGTCATGTTAGTCAACATATCTAGATTACTTGGTCATGTTTGGTAACATATCTAGGTTACTAGGTTACTTTGTCATGCTAGTCAACATATATAGGTTATTTGGTCATGTTAGTCAACATATCTAGGTTATTTGGTGATGTTAGTCAACATATCTAGGTTACTTGGTCATGTAAGTCAACATATCTAGGTTACTAGGTCATGTTAGTCTACATATCTAGGTTACTTTGTTCATCTTTTTTCACTTTATTTTCCTAGTGGAAAAGATCACCCTTTTTTGCTACATTTCCCTTTCATAGAAGTAAAATATGTCATTTTCCACAACTCAACCAACTTATATACAATTTCCCAGTAGGTTCTGTTGATTCTTAATAAAGGCAACAGTAGTATACCAGTGTTCAAAAGTCACAAATCGATTGAGAGAAAACAAATCCGGGTTACAAACCAAAACCGAGGGAAACACATGAACTATAAGAGGAAAACAAAATACCTACAAAAGAAAAATAACTCCTACAAAATTGGTTGACATGTTTGTGACTCGAAAGGCTAGAAAAGAAAGAACAGTAAGTCAATTGGCTTTTGTAAATACAAAAAAAGCATACAGTGAATTATTATACAAATGAGGAGATCAGGCATGATTGCCAATGAGACAACTTTCCACCAAAGTTCGAATAAAGTGAATGTGAACAGTTATAGGCAACCGCATGGTAGGTTTAAATTAGTGTAAAAACTCCCACTGTTATCCATAAATAAATGGCAAAAGAAAGATCTGCTCCGAGTTTAATTGCAATAATTTCGAGAAAGAAAAAGAAATCAAAATTCAAAATACAAAAAGACAAGACAAGAAAAATCAACCAATCAATACAATAAGAAAAGAACAATCAATCCAACAACCACCCCCCCCCCCCCCCCCCCCCCTCCCGCCCCTCCCCCGCGCGCGAGGAAAAAAAAGACAAATAACAGCATCGATTTATTTTTAGTTTTAATAAATATTCGTTCGCAGTAAATGTAAAACAAGCTAATGATACTTGCATTTAGTGAGTTTGATAGCAGGTATTTAATAATATAAAAACAAATAACACGTATATGATACATTTAATTTATATTTTTAAATTGAACTAAATCTATTCCAGATACATTATGGTGCTACCAATGTGGTGATAGTTCTGCCACAGGTCCGTGTATAACGGACACAGCTGGCATGGAAGCAGAGTACATAGAGTTTAATACTACAAACTCGACTGCGAAAAAAGATCAGCCCATGTCTGATAGTGGCACAAAGACGACATAATACCAATATCTAAAGAACTGCCAGAAATCAGAATATGATAGGTGTGTCATTGAGAGGATATAAGAACAAGGTAGCGTATTTACTTATTTCATATTTTTATAAGATATCAGTAAAACATTACCGAATTAATTAACTAAAGGAAAAATCCTCGAGGACCTCTAAAGGTTGACCTTATTTCGTTTTAGCGATGACTTACTGTAAAGTCTAGTGCGGGTTTTGCTTCTTGTGTCTTTATGAATAAGTAAACCTTCGTAAATCGTTGCAATGCTTAACAAATGCCATCGACTGACTGCTAATTGTAGGTAACATATATTAAAATGAACAACAGTACAGTTGTTATGATTGGCTTATATCATCCTAACACTGGGGAATTCAACCACTGCCATAATGTTATTTTGATTTTGGGTACGAACAATGAAACTACTCAATATATAGTCAATATACATTGTATAATCTGAAACGGTGAATTACAGATTCGTTATCTGACAATTAAAAATTTTCTGTGGCATTTTCTCATCAACAACAATGCAAAGTTTCTTGATTTGCATATTACCAAGGTAACCCGTGTGCTCATTTACTTTATGTTGTCTCCTTCTACATAGAATATCTTTAATCAAAACGAAGGTATAGATAAGTGGCTGTAGGTCCTAATTTCTCTTATTTCATGGGATTTTGTCTCATTTATATTTTTCTACTATGTTCGTGTAAGCTGGTATTAAAAAAAATTAAAGTGCAATGATTTCATTGTGGAATTGCTACAACAAAGATCATACTGATGAGCAACTACACACATTTTTAATATAGTTTTCGTGTATTGCAATGTTTATGCTCAATATAAAAATATGACGTTGTGGTATATAAATAAAGGCAACAGTAGTATACCGGTGTTCAAAAGTCATAAATCGATTGAGAGAAAGCAAATCCGGGTAACAAACCAAAACCGAAGGAAACACATCAACTATAAGAGGAAAACCAATGAACAACAGGAATACCGAAGTGCAACAAAAACAAACGACAACACACATAGAAACGAACTAATTAACTATGAGACAACTTTCCACTAGAGACCAAAAGACGTAGAAGTTATCAACTACAGGTCACCGTACGGCATTCAACGATCAATCTCTATTAGATTGTGATATCAATAAATCTGTAGTGGAATGCCTCAACAAGATAATACTGATCAGCAACTACAAACATATTTATTATATTGTTCGTGAATTGCAACGTATATGCTTAATATAAAAAAGGACGATTTGGCATAATTGACAATGATACAACTCTCCACCAGAGACCAAATGACGTACTAGTTAGCAATTAAATGGTACCGTTCGACCTTCAACACCCAATATAGATTGTGATATTGATAGATATCAGAAGTTTTTGTCGCATGTTTGTCAGCAACTACAAATGAGAGCTGAATTGTTTTGCATTTGTTATTTCGGGGCCTTTCATAGCTTACTATGCGGTATGGGCTTTGCTCATTGTTGAAGGTCGTACGGTGACCTATAGTTGTTAATTTCTGTGTCATTTGGTCTCTTGTGGATAGTTGTCTCATTGGCAATCATACCACATCTTCTTTTTTATATTTCTTGAGTAAGGTACTATAAATGTCATAATTAAAATCAAGTCGTATGCTTATCTTCTGTTGTCTGCTTCCACATTGATTGTCTTCTAATTTAAGGACTACTCCATGCATATATACGGGATTGTCACAGCAGTGCTAAAAACTATTCATTTAATGACCCGAAGGTTTTAGATTAAGACCCTGCACGTAACCACACATCATGTATCTACGACGCATTTTCAAAGAGAGTAGCTTGTGTCACTGTGTGTGAAACAGACTTTTGTAATGGACCTCATATAGCCGGTGGAAATTGCTGCCGCGCACAAACATTAATTGTTTTGTTTTATTCAATTCTTGTATTTTTAAAGTATATTGTTTAATGTATAGTGCAACATTGGTTAAATGACATTTTGATTTTTATTCTGGAATACCAAATGTTGAGTGCTACGCTTCTTGTGAGTTTTACATACGATTGGATAAACAAAGTCATTCGATATATTTAGCTACACCGATGATTATATTTAGTACGTATTAATCTATTTTTCACAAGCGTACACCAAACATTGTGAATGTCTGACAACGTCATTAACAATGGAAATTAAACCAATGGTGTCAATTACCCACAATCATTTAGAAACACCGCGATCTCCCAGTCAAATAAAAACAATATTTTGTTACATGTAAAATAAATCTTGTATTTTGTCTCCTCTGACGTCAAACAACAACAGACGTTGTCAACGAAGTTATATATACATAAAAAAGCGAGAATGCGTAGAACAATATAGTTATTTGTTTTTTCCACTGTACTTGCATTAAAATTCACTGCAATAAACATAATAACTAGTCCAAGAATTCAGATATCGAAAATAGTCATTTCCTGACTGATCAACACAAGTCTTATAATTCGCTTCTTTGCCATGCGCTATGCGAATTAATGTTTTGTTCGGTCAAGTTTTCAATATTTTTTCATTTTTAGATATCTTGGATGCAGTTATCTGATATCAATTAATACATCCGTTGTTTTACCTTCATATTTCGAGTGTAGATAACGTTACTCTTGTGTTCGTTACTTCCATCTGTCAGGACAATTGAGGGTGCTGAGTTAAGTTTCTATAACTTATATCAATATACATGTTGTTTACCTATATACTGCGAATTATTGGTGACCGGAGCATTTCCATGTTAATGGTAAAATCTTGTTGGATTGCTGTATAATTGTCTTACAACAAGTCTGTTTTCATCTTTTATTTATGTAATGTTAATTCTATTCTAGCTATTAAACTATTGAAATAACTATTAATGATAGAAAAGAGATAGGACTTATATTCCATGACTTTATTCTACACCAAGGTAATTATGTACTATTGCTCAATCTTAAGTAAAATTTACTATTTCACAGCTTCTAATGTGTACTTTGAGACGAGTGTCAAGCAAGTGCTCGAGGTTGTTATATCAAACAAAATATAGTTCAAAGAAATGAGAAAACAAAAGTCAATGGAAAATAGTTCTTAAATTAAATTAAAAAGATGATGGAGCTAATTAAAACTATGTACTTAATTGAGTACATGTATAAGGGTTTGAAATGGAGTTTACAGAAAAAATATAAAGAATATATAAAAATGGACAAAAAAATGGGTTGCTTAAATATAAAGAATAGATATAATGGGCTGAACATATAAAGAATAAAGAAAAAGGGCATACAAATTTAAGAATACAGAAATGAAGGACCCCCCACCCCCACCCCTTTTACAGACCCTAATGTATCTTTAAGTGTCAAAAGTGTCAATTCGTTCATTGTTAAAAAAATAGAGCCTATTTGCACTCAACGTTTTCCTCTCTTGTCGTTAGTTAGCCCATGACAATTTTGATATTTGTCTAGACTAGGCGTGCACTTTGTATACATACAAAATGAACTGGCCAAGCATGAAACTTCCTCTTTTTAAAGTTTAATGCATTTGCTTAAGCTTTTTAACAGCCTTTGATTGGTGGATGTTTGCCTTTGATTAGCATGTATAAGCAATGTTGTGTTTTTAAGGATGAAATCCGGTTTACCTGAATCAACTCTGCCAGTGTCTCTAATGTAAATATAATACACTATACTAAATCTGCAATTTATTTATTTATTCAGCTGTTTGTTGTTAATTAGCGTTCAAACCGTAAAAATATTTGTCTGTGAAATGATCGGGTATTGGACCTAACTTATAGCTCAAAGGCTCTGTATTACCTCACACGCACAGTAAGTGTATCATCGTTCATAGGAAGAGGGGCACCAGTAGTAAATGTCTTTTGTGTGACGTCTTTTGCAAAATTTGAAGCTTCCTTTTTTACGTCGATTCCATTTTAACCTCCCCACCCCCGATTTTACAAAAACAAGAGAGAGAGAGAGAGAGAGAGAGAGAGAGAGAGAGAGAGAGAGAGAGAGAGAGAGAAGTTACATAGTGCGTTAATGTAAGAATTGCTACGTCAAGCCGTTAAAGAATTCATTCTCTATTTATCAATATTAAAACTCATAAAAATTATAAGCTTAACATCAAAACCCGTTTTATTCATAGGCAAATATTCAGCGAAAAATCTACTGGTGCCTGGTTAATAGTAGAAAATATTATCGTTCACAATACAATACAACTATGCTTGGTCGGGATCATTTGTCTCAATTGCATAATAATCGTTATAATGAAAGAGCAATATATGGTTTTTTATTCTTTCAAAAAGGTTCTATAATTATAATTACACATTACAAATTTTTCAGTTGCGGAACAAACCTACTGTATTTTTGGTAATTTGTTCTCGTCCTGGGTATGTATTCATAGCTGGTTTTTATTTGTATTTCTAATCAGATTCAAGCATCGTACTTTGTGGGAAGTGTCTCGCCACAGATAATTTCTTGTAGGGTGAGATATTCAAATAAGGGCATTATGTGGAAAACATGCATGTAAAGGTTCGCAGAGAGGGATAACGTGTTGCGAGTTAATACATGTACAATGTATATGAAATCTAACAAAAATAAGGTTATATCATACAAAACCAACACCCGTGATAGACATCACGTACATTACAGTACATACTAAGAAACAAACGCTTGGTCACTCTATGGCCTTTAATATGGAACTTCATGCTGGCATTTTTCATACAAAATAGAAACAACTGGCAATCAAATTGTGCAGAAAACAACATACAATCCAAAAAAACTGGACAGAAATTGTATAGCGAGATGAAAGCAGTATCAATTCAGGTAAAATCAATAATACAGCAGATACCTAAAATTGACATAACGAAGATAAATAATCGATATTCCTTTTGTATCTTTCGCCTGTCTTTCACAAAATTTTATAAACAGTTTCGAGTTAATATTTTGAAAGTCTTCTAAGTCTCTTTATATATTATATTCATTTATTTAAGCAAATAGCATCATGTCAGGTCTAACAAATTTCAGATAGCTGAAAACATTCATAAAACAAAACGGGTAGATGAGCTTTTACAATCGACAACAACTTCAACGTCACGGTCTACGTAGATGCAAGGTTATTTACATATATATTTTGGTTGTTTCCTAAAAATTGAAAGTGCAGGTTAGGTATGACCCTCAATTTTCTAGATTGGAAGAACATGTAAATCAACATGAAACAACTCTGGTACATGTACTAATTGATACACATTTCTTGAATATAGTCTTAATTCGTCCTGTCTATTTGATTGAAGAGATTGATACAGATTTGTATACGCCCTGTTCTATAAAGAGGCATAACTATTTTAAATCAATATGTTTTTATTACATTGTTGTTTATTTAGCACTTTGCTTAAGTTAATACATATCCAAACAAGTCTGGTCCAAAACATATTTGCATTATATGGTTCTGTCGAGTCCAGGGATGATTTTTTACCGCTTTTTAGCGGATTTCCGCTATATGGGTCCCAAGGATTGATTTTATGAAACGTGTAAATCCGTTGAGAAAAGTTTGAGAGGGGTAGAGGTCTAAATCTGCGTGGATATCGCCGTATTCATTGGATCAAATCACGGATTATGGATCCGTTGTTTACTGGAGAAACGGAAGTTTTGATTGGTCGAAGTTGATTCCAGTATCTAATCGGAAACGTGCTTTTAAATTGCGCTTTGCGTGATGGCAAGACGAATTGTGGAAAGAGGATCAAGCAAATGACAATGGAGCTAGAAATAGTTGGGAAGTGGGAATGGTTGAACGGGAGGTGAGTGGTGAGCTTGTTGGACTTCACATACGCAAGCTTGCAGCAAAAGGAAAGGCCTACTGTTAACTCTGCAATAAAGATTTAATGTACACTCACCGTGGTCGGAAAGTTTTAGAGCAGCACATCAAATTGAAAGTTCATCAGGACAATATAACATTACGGAAAACAAACTACAGCTTATCATGTATTGTTTTCATTATTTTTAAGGCACTTATTTGGCAAGGGAAAGTTGATGGTTCATGTCATATAAATGGACCTGTCCAGCACTTTCCTTCTACTCCTTTCTTTTGCCCAAACTTTCAGGCCTGGCATGGGTTATTGGGTCAAAAATTACCTTTCTTAAGGTGAACCCCTGCCCAAATTGTTTTTAGGGTTGGATTTGAAGATGTGCATATCTAAACAACTCTACTAAAGATACATGTACTTATTATTTAATTAATAATTAAACCTATCAAAGGCTTACCTTTCTGAAACTTTCCACTCCTTTTATATTTATTTAAATGGCTAAAGTCGAAAGCAGGTCTTGGTGTCTGGTCACTCTGTCTGTCTTTTCGTAATGGATTGAAGGTACCTGTTTGTGTAATCTGAAACTCAAATCACCTATATCTAGACATTTCCGAAATTTCGCACAAAGATTCTGAACACATTTAGCATTACCAAAGATGTCAGCTCGTATTCGTGTTTCACTTATTAATTTGCTAAAGATATATTAATAATAACACGACACTCTTTCATGAATTTGTATAATCATTGATATAATGTTTGGTTATTTTTATGCGAGGTTCAATTCTGATAAACCAATGTATAATCTTTGTAGAAAACAGACGATATATTGGTATCCTTTATAATAACAGGAATATGCACTAATATAACACAAATTTTCAGCACCATATGAACAGAACACTTTTTGTCGTTATAAAGTGCCAAAACAAGCCATTACATGTTTCGCTGCTAAAGTTACCAGTTTTACAAAAAGTGGACAAATCGTATATCGGAACGGTGAAATAATGCAAACTTGCAAGAGAGTCGAAGAGATTTTATTCAATGGTTACCTGAAAACTGTTTTTTTCTTGCGCATAATGCTAAACTTTTTGATTTTAGAGTTTTAGTTCATTCCATAGAGAATAATTCTTTCTATAATAGTTTAGAACAAAAATGTAAGGGTTTTGTTGACTCTCTATCTTTACTAAAAACTGTGCTACCAGAGAGGAAACAAATGGGCAAAAGATATAATCAGGAGAGTCGAGTTTTTGATATTCTTGGTGTCAAATACGACGCACATAATGCCGTTGGAGATGTTCAATCATTACAACGATTAGTTTAACATCAGTCTCGCTTACCACTAAGAAAACTGAAACATACTCATTTCCAGTGGAATATATTTCAGTCTGTCAGACAATTGAATTCGATGAACAAGAGAACGGGTTCGTTCATTTTACCGGCATCAGTTTTATCAAAAGGAATGGTACGAAACATGGCTAAATCTGGACTGGAACAGCGTCACCTAACAATGGCATATGAATTATCACGAGGGGTCTGATGGTGTTGCCAATCTCCTCTCTGAACATTTTTTTGGAAAACCCAGAGTAACAAAAGATAGAAAAATTATAGCTTCAGTTACATCTTTTATCAATTCAGGACATAAGAATGATTTCTTTTTTATTTTATTACTGTATAACTATTTTTGCGTTCATTTAATTACAAGGT